GAAGAGATCGACATGTAGTCGGTGCAAGGAAAGTGGTCATACAAGGTTGACATGTGGATCACCAGTGCCATCAAAATCATCTTTTCCTCTACCAAAATATGGATCCTCATCAAAATCCAAAGCTCATATGGTGTCAAGCAAAAGGCAACCATCTTCAAAATCCCAATCACAATTGGCTTCAACCTTTTGGACTGTTAACTTAGGTGATTTTAAATGCAAACGTTGTATTATGTGATTTTATGTGTGAACTTTTAACATTTTCAGTTGAATTAATGACTCAGGCCAACCATTTTGACTTAACCAACTCTTGTTATTCAGTTGTTATCACTATTAGGCATGCATTTGACTATCGCAACACGGAAATTACAATCGCAACGAGAGAATCGCAATTGTCTTTGAGCCACAAATGGGTCAAATTAGCATCTCCACCCGGATGCTGTACTCTCAGCCATGGCCCGAAGCAGGTTTCAAACAATTGTCTTTGAGCAGGTGAAGCTTCTTTGCAATTGTAGTGGCCAGGCTGACTTATTCTCAAGGTCAATGAGCCGAAAAAATTTCTACAAAAACAATAAACATACCAAGTTAGATATACCAAAACTACACTGTGAAGATATACCAAAAACAATAAACATAAAAAGTAGTAGTTTATTCTTGAAACTAAAATTTGCAACACTGTTTTGTCTTTTGGTTGAAATGAAAATCGCAACGAGAGAATCGCAACGCGAGATGACAATCGCAACGAGAGAATCGCAACGCGAAATGCAAATCGCAACGAGAGAATCGCAACGCGAAATGAAAATCGCAATGCGATTTTGGTTTCGCGTTGCGATTTTCATTTCGCGTTGCGATTCTCTCGTTGCGCTTTTCATTTCTCTCGTTGCGACAGTCATTCTCTCGTTGCGATTTCATTTATCTCGTTGCGACTCTTCTGCAAATTGAAACTTGAATGGATTGCATTACTTCAACCAAAAGACAGAACAAAGACAAAGACAATACTAACTTGAAAATCGGAACGAGAGAATAGCAACGCGAAATGAAAATCGCAACGAGAGAATCGTAACGCGAAATGAAATCTAAGTGAAATGGTTAATCTATTATTGAAATGACCAGTAAACTTATCATCAGTTTCAATATGAAAAACCTACAATAATGCAAACATTTCAAAATAAAAATAATTAAAAAAACTAACCCTCGGAGGTTGATTTTCCATTTCTGAATATTGTGAGGGATTTCTGACCGTGAATGGTTGTGAGGGATTTCGCCGGAGATGGGGACGGAAATCTTCGGAGATGGGGACGGATTTCTTCGCCGTAGAGAGTGAGAGATGGAGATGGGACTGAGTTGTGATTTAGGTTTTAGGTTATGAGTTGCGATTACGGGATTTTGTCTTAATATTCTTTTGTAATTTGAAAATAAAATACGCGTAGCGATTATAATGGCGCTTTAAATATCGCGTTGCGATTTACGGATACGCGTTGCGATTTTATGTATTATCGTTGCGATTTACGGATACGCGTTGCGATATACGGATACGCATTGCGATTTACCCATACGCGTTGCGATTTACGGATACACGTTGCGATTTACGGATACGCGTTGCGATTTATGTGTTCGCGTTGCGATTTTCATATTCGCGTTGCGATTTTGGAAAATCGCAATGCGAATTTGTACTATCGCATTGCGATTTTCAAGAATCGCGTTGCGATTTTGGAAACTGATTTGCGATTCTGGGGATCGCGTTGCGATTTTTATTTCGCGTTGCGATTTTGTTGGTCATTTTGGCAAATCCAAAAAAAGTTGGTTAAAATCGTATATTATAACTTTTTTTTGGTCACTGAGGCGATTTTCTCTTCCTGATATATAATTGTTATTATATTACGTAATCAATTTTTAAAGTTAAGTAGTATTATTTAGTTACGTGTAGAAACTAACATAATCATATAATATAATTTAAACAAAAGTAATACATATTAATCATTTTTTTGGGCGTTTCTCTCGAAATATCACCCTAATCATATATATTTTTCTATCAAATACCGTTCAGATTATATTTACCGATCTAACACCCTTTGCAGGAAGGCGCTCCCCTGCACCGCGCTTTACGCGACGTGATCGAAGGCGCTCCCCCGGGGGCGCGTCTTACCAAATGTGTAAAAAATTCGGATACTAGTTTTTGTAAATATTTTTAAACGGGTGACAAATACGTCATTAATTCCTATTATTGTGACATTTGTGTAAAAACATCAGTATTTGAATTGTGCAGACACCCCACACCGGACGGTTTCAGGTTGTGAACTGGCTGGGGTTTTAATGAAGTGAGCAGTGTGTGTAGTGGTTGAGTTTATTATTTTAGTGTCACAAGTTTATTTTTTATAATAATAAATTTTTTATAATTTTAAAAATTATAAATTTCATATATTTTGAAAAAATTATTAAATAATATTTCATTTGATCCCTCAATTGTAATTAAAAGTTTATTTTAATATTTTTTTTATATTTTTAAACAATTAATTTTAAAAGGCAATAATTTTTTCAAAAATATATGAAATTTATAATTTTTTAAATTATAAATATTTATCATCATCATCATCATTTTGTAAAAGAAATACTAGTTATAAAACTTTTATAAAAGTATTCATATTTTAAAATATTTACCCTCAAAGTTTTTATACTAGATTATATGTATTGTGTAATTTTAATGCAAAAATTTAAATAAATTTATTAAAAATGAATAAACATTATTAACTGTTGTTAAAAATTAAAAATTAATAAATAATAATTCATTTGATCATTCAGTTGTAATTAAAAGTTTATTTTAATATTTTTTATATTTTTAAACAATTAATTTTAAAAGGTAATATTTTTTTTTCAAAAATATATGAAATTTATAATTTTTAAAATTATAAAATATTTATTATTATTATCATCATCATCATTTTATAAAAGAAATACTAGTTATAAAACTTTTATAAAAGTATTCATATTTTAAAAATACTTACCCTCAAAGTTTTCCTATACTAGATTATACATATTGTGTAATTTTAATGATAAAATCAAAATAATTTTATTAAAAATGAATAAACATTATTAACTGTTGTTAAAAAATAAAAATTAATGAATAATAATTCATTTAATCCCTTAATTGTAATTAAAAGTTTATTTTAATATTTTTATATTTTTAAACAATTAATTTTAAAAGAAAATATTTTTTTTCAAAATATATGAAATTTATAATTTTTAAAATTATAAAAAAATTATTATTATAAAAAATAAAATTGTGACACTAAAATACTAATAAACTTAACCACTATACACACTGCTCACTTCATTAACTTGTGACAAGACCCCAGCCAGTTCACAACCTGGAATCGTGCCGTGTGAGAGTGTATGCACAATTCAAAATGCTGAAGTTTTTACACAATTGTCACCATAATAAAATTAATGACGTATTTGGCACCCGTTTAAAAATATTTGCAAAATTAACTCTCGGTTTTTTACACATTTGGGGAGGCCTTCGACCACGTGGCGTAAAGCGCGCTGCAGGGGGCGCCTTCCTGCAAAGGGTGTTAGATCGGGAAATATAGTCTGAACGGTGCCTGATTGGGAATATTGAATGGAAAAGGTGATTTTTCGGGATAAACGCCCATTTTTTGTATACATCAAATAACTCGTGTCAATTTTATTGATCAATCAAACTTTTATTCTTTAATTTTGTTTAACCGATGGCATCACCTATTTTAATGTTAGTTTATGCCCGCCAATTATCTTTTTTCTTTATTTTTAAAATTTATTTAATAAGAATAATTATGTCTTTGTGACATGTTCTTTGCTTTTATGACACGTTTATCTACTTTTGTGACATGTTTTTCTCTGCCTTTTGGTAGCTTACGATTTTTTGTCGTTTTTATTTATCTTTTTTCTAAGGATTAAATTTAACATAGCCACGACTGATCAAGATGACGCTATTGTTATCATGATGATATTCTATGCTTTGAACTCTCAGGTTGATTTAGATATGCGTTTTACGTTCTTGGATAGTTTTCTCACATCGCTTGACTCTGATTTACGATTTATCAATAGTCTTTCAATAACTTCATCTTCTTTTGTGGTTCGTTTACCGATACAATCAAATTTATTCGTATCTTTATTTTATTCGAATTTTTGATCAAGCTTTTTAACATTTTCCTTCTTTGATCTTTATGTGATCTAGATGATTTATTTTTGTCTCAATGGTAATAGAAAAATATCAAAATTATATTTTAGGTTTACGATTATACTTATAAATCTTCATTGTAATTTTGAATATTTTTTATTTTTAGTAAAACTAACGACTTTCTATAAAATAAAATAAAAAAACACACAACAACAAAATCCCGCTTTCATAATACATTCACTTTTACAATGGGTTTTACACACTTGAAGGTTTAGTGCATGCAATTCATCCGAGTACAATCCATGACAAAATCAATATCAAGGTTTGGAAAAACATATTTTGGTGACTTTAAACATTAATAAATTAGGGTTAGGGTTTAAATCTGATGGTTTCGTTGAAGTGGGAATTGGTTAGAATGTGGCAGATTAAAAATACAAATAAACCACAACAGTTGCTCAAGTTCAAACCCCATATTTGTTCTCTAGTTGAAATTATGATAATCAGACTCTATTTCCTGTCAGCAAGACATATTTGAACACCAGTTTCAGGTATGATTATCGAAATATACACGCTTCAAAGAGTTCGAAAATTGAGTTTATCCATGTCCTACACCAACCAAAGTGAAATGACCAACCTCCACTTGAAAAACCTCTTAAACATGTTAGAAACTAAGAGAAAACAGTAAAATCAACCAACCCATCAATTCATGTTAGATAAGTTCGATCATGGGTGTATGTTAGATGTTTTTCCTTTGAGTTTTTTGGTGGTTCCATATCCCCCTACCATGCCCGAAAATGTTCGGCTATGGATACTTAAAGAAAAATGAAGATTCAACATAATAGATTTAAAGGTTATTTGGTGCAAACAGTATCTGTGAATGTTGTAGTGAATAAACGGAGAAAAAGATGAGGAAGACAGCAATAAGCACAAAACAAATTTCACCATACATGCCTAAATGAAACAAAGCATTCACAATTGTTCACATTTAAATATGTTTTGTTTAAAGTTCATTCTTTTTGTCATAATTACCCTTCTACAACAGTCATCTTCATCCTAGCCACCACTTTCAACCTATACCACATATCGATTGTCCATCTTCCTCTCTAATTACTATCACAACTTCAACTCAAATAAACTAGAGGATTAATGGTTTCAATAGAATTCGGGTATTCCGAACACGGATATCAAAAGGGAAAAGTTGAAAAGGGCCGAGGGAGTAGATGTATAGTTCAAACCTGAGAAAAGATGGATTGGCACTTCACTGTCTTACTCCTCTTCCTCCACTTTTACGATGAAATGTCAGAAACATTCTGCATCCTATTGATTTAGACACGAAAACAACAATATTATTCAAGTGTTGTTTGTGGTGCAACAATGGTTCCAATTATGATGAGAGTTACTTTGGTTGCAATATTACAAGTTTCTTATCAGATAAAATACAAATGAGGTTTTCTTATTAGAGTATTTTATAGGAGAATAAGTGTCAGCTTCAATCCATTGCTCAATGCACTTATGATGCTGAAGCATTCCAGTAAAACAATTTCAGAAATCAATTTTAGGATTTAATAATGTTAAAATATCCTTAAAAGATTGGTCTTCACGCCTACCATATTTGTGTGCCAATCTTAGAAGTGTATGTTGAACAACCTGGTAATCATAAAGGAATAGAAACCATCTCTCTTTGTGACAAATTCAATACACTCTGGAAATGGAATTTTTATAGCGTTGTCTAGGTTAAATAACCTATGAAACAAAGATTTTAATCATGAACCCAAAACCCTAAATTCAGTTCATATAGTCACCCTTTATATGGGACATCAGAAGATCTATGGTTTGAGTCCTAGCATTTGCAACTCCTCCCCTATCTGCAGTCTCCTTTGCACCAGAAAATAATTTTAAGGTTTGCCTTGCATTTAATTTTGAATGAAATGAAAAGACAAAAGAAAATGTTTATCTTGTATTGAATTTTCCATTTGATGCAAGCAAAAATATTTCTGAAAGATGTTGCTTACCCGTACCCTAATCTCGCCTGCTATCTGCTGCAACAACAAAGATAGATACCAAGAAATGACAGCTTTGCACAAATCATATATATGACAATGACAGAGAGCACGCTTGTACACATCCACGGCCTCACATGAATGGAAACGGGCGTGCTCTCTCTCATTGTCAAATGTTGTGCAAAACCCGAAACTGAAATCTACAAAATAAAATTCAAACATATTAGGTAATATATTGCAAAATAAACTTATGCTCTAAAACGATGGTAATCGAAACAATCCCAAGAACTATAACATAAATGCCAATATATTTAATTCCATATACACTATACATTCTCCTTAATGCATAAAATCTCTATACATACAGATATGAGATCCGATAAGATTTCTTTTGAAGTCTCCAATATTTTAAATTCCATATACACTATGACACCGACATTCCAAGCAAAACATTCTTCAAACACTTGTGATTGATATGAATATAATACCAAAGACAAAGGAATGATCTAATGTATTGCAGACGTAGAAGGGCATCGTCTACTAAGATGAATGAAGATGGAAGTTCCTTTCAACACACATTAATTTGTACATTGGATTATTAAAAACATATAGTCAACAGCTTATAATTCATAACAAGATACATAGTATGTGTCCATAAAACATAATCTCTTACGCAATCATAAACGGAAAAAAAATTTAGTAGCACAAAACAAAGCAATGATAAGCTGATCAAGAGATTTTTCTTGTAAAACCCTTAGCCCATTACAAATTACAATCAAATCTATATTTCTCATTATAAATGCAGCTAGTTGTTCACCAAAAACTCACCCCAATTTCCGGTTCTCCACTGACGAGATCTAGAAGGGGGACTTTTATATGTAATCAAAGCATATTATAAAGGCTTGGCATGAGCTATAAACAAATTTAAGAACTAAAGAAGAAGTGTTTCAAAGAATTTGTCAAACATTCAAGGTTGCCATTTTTTAAAACTAAATAGAAATGGCCAATGATAAAAATCTACAGGATTGAGACTACAGTGAACAACTGAATTTGCTAAATAAAAAAGCTTGAAGAAGATAAATCAAAGGTAATCAAATCAAGGGTTGATTCAACTACCACTGCTGTTAAAACTAAAACAACATGGAACATAAACCAAAATTTACTAGTCTTTACGTTTTCTCCATGTTTCTTAACCAAGATCCTAGCCCAAACTAGAACGAGTATCAACATATAGAAGCAGAAACAAGGGCTTAAAATATGCTAAAGCTTTTAGAGCAGAAACAAACCCTAACCTTACAATTCAAGGAGAAGATAAAAGAAAATAAAAGAACAAGTTCAGAAAGCATTTATGAATAATATAACTATGAACCTAATTCCCAGATCCAAAACCCAAATCTTGAACCAGGAAAGAAAACATTCAAAATCCATACTAAAACACTAAAACGAAGCAGGAAGTAGCCTACTTCCCCACTAACGGCTGCATAGTAATAAAAAAATAAAACAAATTGTTGGTGAAAAGAGTGCAAATTTCTTCAGAGAGAAAGAAGAGATTCTAACATTGTTTCAATCCAATCCCACGAAAAAACTACTGTGCATAATTACATATACGACACTAACAAAGATTAAGTGATAATCTCTTAAAAAAAGAGAGAAAGAAAACAGGAACAAAGATTAAGTGATAATGTTGAAGGTACCGTTTCGAAATCCGCCTCTTTGTCTGGTTACTAAGGTAAGATGCGCGTGGATTTGATCCAACGGTGTCCATGTTGACAAACATTATTAAGCACAAAAGTACAAGGCCAAAATTAGAACTCTTTCACTGTGCACTACCGTAACCGATTTTACATGGCGCGTGAAATATTCGAACAATGAGGAGACGACGGTAAAAGTGGAAAGGTCGCTTTCGTGGGCGAATGGTCGGGAGTTAATGTGCATGTGAAAGACACATGATGGAGGTGAGCGTGGGGATTAAAAGATGAACTGTTTTCGTAGGGTGTGACCTATGAACGTTGACGACCAAAACTCTCGTCTTATTGGGAAATTTACTTGGAATTTTTTATATAAAAGGGAAATTTGATACAAAGATTGATCATAATTTACTCTAGTCGGGAATGGACATAGATTGGATTAGATCTAATTTCTAACAAAACTAATTCAATATATTTAAATTAAGTTAAAATTCATCGAATTCACGGAAATTTAAATTTTTAAAAAGATCCTTGACTGAGCGACATCGATCCTCTAATCCTCTAATATATAATGTAGGCATGGATCAGAATGTGGCGTCAACTCTATCCTTTGAAACCATTACGGGAATGGTGGGGATGAGCACGTAAAGCACTATTAATTGAGTCGGTGCTACCCCAAACTATTTTTGACAGATTAATGTCCACGATGACCCCGAGATAGATGCAGGTTGTTGATGGTCCAGGTTGAAAATGAAACCTGAATTGAATGTTCACCGTACGGTCTGCGTACGACATCCGGATAGAGTCTCCGACCGGATCAAAGGATAAAATTTGGAGAACCATTGCTAAGTATCACGTTTAGCAAATGGTGAAAGTTTTCTTATGGCTGGTTGTTAATGACAAACTTCTCACAAATAGTGAACGAGTGCGACGATATATGAATACATATGCCAAGTGTTGAGTTTATGATTCGAATGAGGAGACTAATGATCATTTGCTCTAAGTGTGTCTGACAACTCTAACAATTTGGAAGGGGCTGATTCGACCGGAGAAGATTGTGAAATTCCTTGGCATAAACACTAAGGAATGGAAATTGATTAACCTTGAACATTCGAGCTACTTTGCCTGTTTGGTCCACTCCTTTGGGCCCTCTGAAAACATCGGAATCTGTGTCTTTGATTCAGATAAGTTAGAGCAGTCTTACAGCAGTCTGCAGTGCTACAAATGGAAGGTATTCGTCTATTCGAGCTTGGGAGTCGACTTCCAAAGCAAGTAACCCTGGAGCCTTGAACTTGCAAAGAGCATCCCGATATGAGGCTCCACCGATTGCATGGGTAAAGGTTAATACGGATGGGGCAAGGGATTTAAGAATTACGGGATGGATATGTGGCACGTGGGGGAGTGATTAGGGACAGTAATGGAAAATGAATTATCCGTTTCTCTAAAGTTGCGGGAATCTGCTCTGCGTTTGAAGCTGAACTTTAGGGGGTGTTCGAAGGTCCGTCGCATGCGTGGCGACTAGGGACAAAGCAGGTGATTCTTAAGATCGATAGTGTCGATGCATGTCGGGTATTGTCTCATACTACAAAAGGAGTGACAACGCCTTCTATCCTATAACATATGCGCGAGCTGCTGGGTAGAAACTGGTTAATAACAATATTGCAGATTCGACGAGAAAGCGAATAGGCTTGCAGATAGAATAGTGAAGATGACTCCAAAGAAAGACTTTGTGCGTAGGACCCTCCCGATACCTTCAGAAGTTATTCGCTTAATCCTCTATGAAGAGGGTTTAGGACTGAGTCCTTGATTAAGGGCGTTTTAACTTAGTTTAAAAGCATTTTATTCACCAACAATTAGTTGGTCTAGTGGAATGAGGCACTAGGTATTTTAAGCAAAGTTAGAGGTTTGAATATTGTAATTTGCGAATGGAGTAAACTGGGTTTGGAGGGTCGCCTTCGAAGGCCTTTGCAGTACCCGATCTGGATTAGTCGATCAATAGATCGGATACCAGTGATTAATTTAAAAAAAACACTACCTTCACTAAAAAAATCACCGGATTCAAATTATTTATTCATTTTATTTTTTTTCTTTCTATTATGTCATTTACATTATTGTGATTATGCTAATAATTAGGCAAATTATTTCTACAATAAGATTTTTTAATGAGATTAATTGTTTGGATCAGTTTATATGATAAATTCTTCCTATAATGCCCCCACTAATTTATTTGTTGAAATAAGAAGATTGTTATAGTACGACATAGAAAACACAAGAAGTACAATGCATCTTCAGTAATAACGAGGAGATTATAATATGCCATCAGTGCTCCTGCAAAAGATATATGGTTGAAACAAAAATAAAAGCAACTCTCCGAAAAAGCTGAAGATGTGTTGTGATAGTTACATATTGTAAAACATACACTATATTCTCAATATCTTGTAGGAGATATTGTGACAATAGTTGTAACATCCTTAATACCAGGTTGGTGATTAAATTGTAAAATTTTAGAATTTGGGGATAAAAATAGGATAGTTGAATAGTTCAATGATTTATGTGTAGATATTTCCTTAAAGTTGTTAGTAATTATTAAAGGAATTAAAGGGTAAAATGATCATTATACAAGAAAGATATTTTCCCCCTTAATAAATATGAATCACGTGGGGGTGGGGAAAAGAGTTATCTGAAAACTCTTTCTTCTTTCTTCTTCTTCCTCTCCTCCCGTGAAGGCTCCAAAGTAAAGGTGAGTTTTCTGGTTAATCAATTAATTGTTGATTTTATGAGTTAGTTTTGATCATTAGATGATAACTAAGCTTAAGGAAAGCTTAAGTTATCTTAAAATCAAAAGATAAATGAGTTAGAAGAGATTGAAGAATTGGAGTTTTTAAGTGAAATTTTGAATAAGAAGGTTTATATGAATTTAGAGGATGAATTTGACTTGTCATCTATGAGAATAAGAAGCTAGAAGTGTTAGAATTAAGTTTGGGTAACATGAAAAATTTGGTACGATTATTGATTTCTATATGGAGAATCTAATTTTGAGGTTTAAGATGAAATTAATGGGTATAAATTAGTTTAAGTATGTATATTTGAGTTAAGAATATTAAAGAAAGTGAAATAGGAAGTGTGGAGCTGAAAATGAAGCGATTTTCGAGCTCAAAACATGATTTCTGGGCTAGGGGAATCGGTACCCATTCAATGGGAATCGGTACCTATTCAAGAGGGAATCGGTACCCATTCAAAGGGGAATCGATACCCCCTCAACTGAACAAGAAATTCCAGAATGTCTTTAGGGAACCGATTCCCCCCACAGTAGGGAACTGATTCCCCCTAAAAGAAAAAGTGATTATTGGTTTAATGAGTTCGGTTAAGTTTCTAGTATCAAATTACAAGGTGTAGGTATCTAATAATTTCCTGAAAATGTATAATTATGTAGATTCAGAGCCTAAACGAGTTCCGGAATCATTGTCAAGTAAGATCGATCAAAGGGAAAGATAAGAGATTGGAATTGACTAGTGAGGCTAGGTGAGTGCATATTCAATAGTATATGATAGGTGATGGGAAGAAGACTTGCGATGAGTTTATTTCCTGAAGCGTTACATATGAATTCATGATTAAAGGCATGAGTTGAATATGAGTGTATGCATGCTTGATTATATGAATTGATATGTTTTGTATGTGCTATGTGGTTTATGTACAAACAATATTAAGTGTTAATGAGAGAATATCAAATAAGTTATGAAATTATATGAATATAGAAGATAAGTCAAGAGATGTAGGGTAATGGAAATAGAGGTTTATGAAGAATCATAGGAGAATAAATATAAGTAATATGATAATGAAATATAAGACTATGTGAATACATGGTTATGAGAATTAGTAAAATAGAGTTATTTGATTTAATGAGAATTGGGGAAACTAAATAAGATTGAATTATAGAATGAAATGTGAATAATATATCAATTAGGGAACTTGAATATAAAGCGATGATATGTATAGATATAGGATAAATTATATGCTAAAGATCTATGAAGTTATATGAAAAGGTTATAAGGAATATATGAATTTAATTAATTAAATGGATTAAAGTAGTATATAAATAAAATACTATTAAGTGTAATATATATGTTTAGAAAAATGACATAAGTTATATAATCTAAGGGAATACAAAGAAATAAAGCATAAAGTAGACGAAATGAGATAAGTTATTATATACCTATATGATATATGTTATCAGGTAATATGAAAGGATTCAGAAAACTTATATAAGATATGTGAAAGTGATCTAGGTGTTTATATGTGAATTATGCGGTAATAAGTTATATGAAATAAGTGTAGTGATTACCAGATCATAAGAGATAAGTTAGAGAATGTGAATGATATGACTAGAAACTATGAGCCTGTGTGATGAAATAAATATATGAAAACATGACTATGAGATATGTGATAAGAAGTTGTGATTAAATGATCAAATATAAGCTAAGGGATATATGTGAATTACATGAAAATGTGCTATGTGTAAGTGAATTACGTGATTATATGAATTTGAAATCATATGAGAATTGACATGAACTACGTGATTACATGTATGTGTGAATGAAGTTACGAGCTTATATGAATATGTGATATGTTTACATGAATATGTGCAAGGATATAAAAGATAGTGCCTGTGTTATGTGTCTTGAGAGCTTTGGGGTATAGTTGGCATGCCAAGAGTCGATGGTCTACGCAGTCCTTCGGGACATATAGGTATCCTATGGAACATCTATGAGGTCTTTTGAGACACATATTTGGTCCTTAGCATATGTATATGATTCTTAAGGAATTTTCTACGTGGTCCTTCGGGACGTATATGTATTCTTTGGAGCATGTATGAGGTTTTTTGAGACACTTACTTGATCCTTGGTATATCTATATGGTTCTTAAGGAATTTATAAGTGGTCCTTATGGACAATCTTATATGG